CAGGTGACCTCTAGCAATTCCTACTTACATTTTCCTACTTCAGCATTGACGCGGAAGTTTCTGGTCGTGGACTTCTGCTCCGGTCGATTGTGATCCTCTCTACTCACTGGCTTCTCCGGATCAGGTTTGGTAGCCGTTTACCCTCTGAGCTCATATGTCTGCTGACCTACAAAGAGTTGTGGCTTTTCAGTTTGTCTCTTTACCTGTGGTTGAGATGGAGTGGTGACATCCAAGCTCCTTCCACGCCAGACTAGAGTCCTGCTGCTCAAGTTGAAATCCAAGGGTGGTGATTCTCCTAATGAGTTGGAGTGAGCATGTGATCTGTCCTTCAGAAGGGCATTCTTTAGAAGGTTGTTAGTCATTCTCCCAGGGCAGCAAGCATGACCGTGGCGTGTGGTCACCCTGTGGAGGCCGTTTCCTACTGGGAGGAAACTAGCCTTAGAGCTTACGGTGGGGCTCAGTCTGCTTGACCTCTGCGGTGTGGTGTCCGCTGTTGGAAGTGGCTGGTGTGTTTACTGAGGTCTTCGTCAGGAGTCTCTGGTACTCATCATCATGGTCGTTCTTCACTGAAGAGAAACACAAACCACATTATCACAATTTTAGTCAGCTTTTCATTGATGGCTTTTATTTTCCCTTTAGTAGGGAGACAAGAATCGTGTTTAATTCYTCCTTACTTAACGGGGTTCATAACCACCTTTGAATCTGGACGTTGTTCCCCTTCCCAAATTCTGGATTGGAAAGAGACGCCCAGCCCAACGTTCAGATCTGTGGACRGACAGGCCTAGATGATAGGGCTAGCTGCCACGCAGCCCAGATAATCACCTGTAGGATCTATGAGCGGAGCAGGGGCTGGAGAACACAGGATTGAAGATGGAGTGTCCCTGGCTGGACGCCAGCTCGGGCTGGACAGGCCGTTTCCCCTTAGGCAAGTGTATTTTTCCTTTCCAACACTCACTTTTCTCCATCTGCATAACTGAGAAAATAAAAGTACCTACCTCATATGGTTTTCRTTTTGGGTCCTTAATGAGGGCTGGCACCCAGTCAGGGCTCTGTGATGKACTGTTTTGTCCAGGTCTTTCGGTTTCCAGGGCGCTCTTAAAGCCTTGGAGATCTCTTCTGACAGTGACTTTCTGAGACSGTTAAAGCAGGTCTCGAGGGTGCCAGCAGGGAGGCCTTGGTCATTATAAGCTGCCTATTTGTGCAAGGAAATGTGAAAAGAACACAGTCCTCTCCCCATTTCTGGTGCCCCACTAAGCGTGGACTCAGATGCCTTCTCAGGAGTGAGGGAGTGGTAAGGAAAACACATYCACAGTCCGCTTTTATTTGTATTAGAGCTATAAACACATACAGCCTTTAAAAGGCCCATCCCAAAGCCTTTCAGTAAAGACCGGCAGRCCCTTGCCCATCCCTCCTGCTTCTGATGACTGATTCCAGAACCAGCTACTTTCAACCCTGTTAGCTCTTTCTTTTGGGGTCTATGGCTCTCTCTTTGACTTCCTGATGTGGAGGGGAATTGGCTGTCCTGCTTCCCTCTCCTGTACCTACCTACCTACACACACACGCACACGCACACGCACACGCACGCGCATGCACACGCACACGCACACAGGCATTTATCATCCAGCATTTTGATAAGATGACATAATCTATTTAGAGAATGATTTTTTTTTAATTCTGAAAATGTAAGTCACGGCTGAGCCAGGGGGTGGATTATGATCAGTCCCCCTTTCTTGCGTGGTGCTGTCTTGGGTTAGGTAATTGTGTCTTCTTGTCTGTGGACTYTCTATGTATCTAGCTTTTCCAGCCTCACCTGAAGCAGTCTGGGTCTCTGGATTTATTAGGCATCATGTGCGTGTGCGAGTGTGCGTGTACGTTTGTAAGAAGTCTGCCCCAGGCTCTGTGTCCTCTCCTTGCCCTCTGGGCTTCGTCCTGGGGTCTGCACCGTCCTGAACATTGCCTTCTTTTCTCAGTTTGGTCCCTGCTTCCGGACGTCATGTCTTCCTCTTGATGATTTACTCCCTTGTTTGGTGGACACATTGTTCAATCTCTACCTAAGAAAATTAGAAAGGGGGGTAAGACCTTTTGGGAGTTTGCAGATCTGAAAGTCTCTTTTTCTACTGTCACATCTATTGACAATTTAGAATTCTAAGTTGGAAATTACTTTTTCCCCTTGGAGTTCTGAAAACATGGATGGATTGATTTTGCATTTCTGGCTTGCGCCTTGGAGGACTGGGGCAGCACAGTGATTCTCAGTCCTTTTATTGTGACCTTTTAAAATTTGTCAGGGAGCTCTTTAGCATCTTTCATCTGTTCCTGGTGTTTGTATTGTATCTGAGGCCTGGTGAGCTCACTCAGTTTACAAATTCATATCCTTGACTTATAGCATATTTCTAAATAGGATCTCTCCCTCCCTCTCACTTTTCCGATTTGATCTTTTTTTCCCTGCTATGCCAGGTACTCAGATATTGGAGCTTCAAGATCATCTCTCTAGCTTTTAAGGATGTTTTGTTCTATTATTTACTTCTTTTTCTTTTGTTTTCTGGAAGGTTCCTCACCTCCATCTTGCGTTTCTAATCACTGGGACTTCTCGCATGCACCTTCTTTTGATGGCCTTTTCTTCTTGTTCCAGGAAAGCAATGATTTCTCCTTCCTCTCTGAGGGTATTAATAAAAATGACAAAAAKTCCTTCTCTCTTTTGCATTACCTATGCATAGTTATTGGTACAATATTGCCCAAAGCCCCTTGTGGGTGAGCCTGACTTGCTAGGTGGTCTCCTTCATGACAGGGTGACTGATTGGGCTGTTTAGTTCGGGCTCCTCTGAATGTCAGCAGCTGGGTTTTTCTCTTGGGATGGTTAGTCTCCCCATGCCCAGTTCTCCCACCTCTTGCTAGGGTGGGTCAGGTGATAGTCTGCCAGCTGCCCTTTGTGGAAGTCAGACTAGGGAACTGCACTGGGGAGAGCAGATCTTGCCATTTAGTATGCAGAGACTCAATTAATTACCTTCTTTCAATACCTGACCCCCAGGAGCCGTGTGCCTCGCATGCAGAGGTTTCTCTCGGTCAGTCTTCCCAGAGGACAAACCTGCACAGTCCTGCCAGCACAGACCAGGGGCAGCTTCCGGCTTCGTCAGCCACGGAAACCTGCCTACGTCAACTGTGGCTCCTGTTCTCAGCTCCCCTGTCCCCGTCAGGGCCCTCTCCACTATCTTCAGAGTTACCACCTCTCAAGTCTTGAGCCTTTCTGGTAGGCTCTAAATTAAAGGATCACCTCTGGGCTCCTACTCTTGGTTTTCTTGAATTCAGTTTTYTGCTTTTGCGGGTCTATTGAGCTAGCCGTCACACTCTGGGCTTCCATTTTTAATTTTTGTCTGCAGTCCTCTCCCATGTCTTTTACCTGTCCCAAATTGTACCCCCCAAGCCATGCCATGTACTCCCACCCCGCCCCAGCTTACTGTGAGAAGCAGTAAACTGGCTAAAAGCGGGGGCTCCGGACCCCGACCACCCGACTCACTGCCCAGTTAGTTGCTCTCTGCCTTCGTCTCCTCATCTTCAAAAATCAGTAGAATTGGATGATTTAAGATAAATGAGCCATTTAAGTCCATAGCTGGCGTAAAACATACCAGCCATTATTATTTTGGAGTCGTTTCCAGTAAAAGATGAGTCTGTGTGTTCCAGTGACCTGGAAATCCAGAGACATGAACCTCATACGAATCATGAGGCAAGCAGTGTCCACGTGATGAAGAAGACCAAGGACAAACTCCACCCATYTGATGTGCTGGGAAAATCTAAGCTCTTACTCTTTGATTACTGGAAGGAACCTTAGGGATCTCGGTCTCCAAGTCTGTATTTTGCAGATGAGGGAAACCAAGACCCTGAGGGGTAGGTGACTTGCCTTCAGGCCAAACCCCAAGCTCATTCCTAGTTCAGTCTTCTTTCCATTAAATCAGATTTCCTCTTCTAAGAAATAGTGCTGTGAGACCCATGAGTGTGTTTTTGGTGGTGGCACTGTTCTGTACCCTATTCTTAGCCTTTTTAGTTTTTATTTCTTTAACTTCAAGTGCTCAGGACCGGGTCAGTGATGACCCTGGTTTGCAGCTCACTTGCGTCATTGGTTCGTGCATAGCCTATTTGTTTATTAATAAGGTAAAAAAAATTTTGAAAATCCATATCAGGTGGGATACTTGGGCAGAAAGTTAAAATGTATGGTTTCCATTCATGTGTGGTTCAAAAGTAAATTYATACATGATCATGTGCAGCGTGACAACTTTGGTCAGTGACAGACTGCATACATCTCGGCGGCCCCATAAGGTTGTAATGGCATTGGAAATTCACATTGCCTGGTGACATCACAGCTATCATGACGTGGTTGGCCGTGTGTGCTCCTGTGTTGTTGTGATGTCTGTGTAAACAAACCTACTGTACTGCTGGTGGTCAGAAAGTGAAACAGTGCAATTATGTGATCACATAATACTTGACAATAAATGCATTACTAGCTTATTTACCGTACTGTTTTTAGAGTATATCACACCCATAAAGGTTGGCTGTAATTCCGTCTGCCGTCTTCCACTGGTGCCTGCTGTATCTCACATTCTCCTACATCTCACCTTATAGCATCAGAGATCACACTCAGAGCCACCCACACAATTCAGGTTGAAGGAGATCCACTCTCTGGTGTTTGCACGGTGATGAGACCCACTGAGGGTGTGTTTCTCAGGAAACAGCCCCCGGGTTAGGTGATGTGTGACTGTTTAGAGGATTTTTGTGGCGCATCTGTTTTTCTTTCATCAATGGAAAATCATCTAATGAATATAGTTGGGTGGTTTCCAAACCTTCCTCCTGGTGTAGAAATTGGCCAGACTGGGGGGTGGCAGTGGATAGAGGCACAGTCAGAGAGAGGAACAGGAAAAGGACAAGCTGCACAGTTAGCCCGGAGACGCGTGGCCTCTGAAGTTCGTGAGTCCCCTCCGGATGGTGTCCTAACGGGTTGGTTTATGATGCAGGCCTGAGAACCATYGGCGTCATCACCAAACTGGATCTCATGGACGAAGGGACCGATGCCAGGGACGTGCTGGAGAACAAGCTGCTGCCTCTTCGCAGGGGTACGTCCTGGGTCTGCAGAGGGCCTTCTTGGTACTGTGTCAGAGACAACTGCAAGTCATGGGGAGGCACGGGCTTAATGGTCTCCCTGTCCTCAGGCTTGGATTTATTATCAGCTACACTCTTTATGGAATGGCACTGTATTCCCACAGGAGGTGTTAAAAATGATCCAAAAGGAGAACTATTCCTTAACATAACAGTGGTAAGAAAACAGGAAAAAGAAGGGGTTTGAAGGAGGGTATAGATATTCACCATAGATCACACAAATATGGATACCATTCTGTTGTACGTGTGGTCTTGACGATCCCGCAACACAACTGCGAAGAGACATTCTCTCTTAAAATGCATAYGGCTTTTAAATGTGAGGGGTATCATCCCTAGGCAAGTCTGAGGTCTTGGTTAAAATATCATTGTCTCAATGGAGTTTTGTAAAGGGGCCCAGTCTTCAGGCCCCCAGACCCACTTGCCTACCTCCCTCAGTCTGTGGGAGAGCCCTGAGATCTCCCCAGAACAGTTACAGGAGAGTGCCGAGCCCCATGGGGCCGTGTGGTGGTGTGTTTGTTGTTTCAGGTTACGTGGGGGTGGTCAACCGGAGYCAGAAGGACATAGACGGAAAGAAGGACATTAAAGCAGCCATGTTGGCAGAAAGGAAATTTTTTCTTTCACATCCGGCCTACAGACACATTGCTGACCGGATGGGGACCCCGCACCTTCAGAAGGTCCTGAATCAGGTAAAGAMATTCTTTAAAGCCACAAGAACAGTTACAAAATGTGTAGGCCACTGGGATTTAAATATCTTATTTTTGGATTTCTCTTTTCTGAAGCAAGACGTCCAGCTTAAATGAAAGGGGTTAAACAGTGACTGTGGGTGCTCGGCGGGTGCTGTCCTGCGAGCTGAGTTGGCCTTAGCGGAGGGGGCCGTCGGGGGGCCGGGCTCACAGCACAGACAAGGGTCTCCTTAGGAGGCGAAGCCCGTGTGCATTTGAGCATGCATTCTCTTACCACACGTCCTAGTTCTCCTGAGCATTTAAACTTGTGTAGCTCTGAAACGAGGATCACTCGGGATCTGTCTGTGGAATTCCAAGCCGTAATGGTTAGGTTAGACTTTCTGTTAGATTTTTTATTTTTCTGGTTTTGTTTAGGATTGATTTGTTCCTTTATTTAAATTTTTCAAAACAACAAATCCTGATGAAGTCATCATGATTGCCACTCATCTAAACACTTTCCCAGATAACCCATTTTCCCCCAATAAATAGAATCAGACCGGGCCCCCTGTCTCCCTGCCCCGCCACATGCCTCACACACTTCATGCCTCTGTCACAAGGCCTCAGCACACGTTCCCTGGTACAGACGTTGCKTCCCCTGTGGTGGTCAAGCATCACGACAAATGCCCTGGTTCCGGGGTCACCCTTCCTGAGTTTTGATGAYAGTGACATTTACCGAGAGCAGTTTTCCCTACAGACATCCCCATTCGCTAAGCTTTCCCCCTTCCTCCGTGAGCCTGGTCAGGTGGTCACAGACGCTCTGACATCAGATCCTGGAAGGGTGAGTAGAGGTGGTCACAGTTAAGGACATGATATCTGAACCATGGAGATAAGACAGCGGAGGTTTTAGAAAATAGGAAGGAGAGGTGCACTTGTATTTTAAGTGACTTTGGTGACGTTCATATTCTTAATTAGGCTAAAAGAGAATTTGGAATCTCAGAGGCAGCCCTTGGTTGTATCCCTTTTAAAATATGAATAGCCTTGAGGAGGAGCACTGTTTTGTCGTGCAGGAACCGTGACATTCTCACCCTGTAGTCAGTAGTGGTAAAACTTGTGTCAGACCACCGCTTTCAACCCTACATTGGCCTAAGAAAATGACAAATAACCTGAAAAAAATCCTATAGGAAAATCACTAATACCATTGGAAAGAGTTGTAAATAAATTAGATTTTGCGTATTTAAAAAATAGGAGATGATCGCAATTATATCATGCAGATGATCCCCCACTTTTGACACAATTGGATTGTGTTGATTGAAAGTTGAACGCATTTTACCCTGAACATCTCTTCTGTATAATTGYTGTTTCAAAGGTTTTCATATTGTATTTGAAACTAGAACAACTTTCTTGCTAATTCTATGTGTGCCAGTCCTTCTGATTCGGAGGCACCATGTCTATAGACAATCTGGACAAAGGTGTGATGATTGTGAGGAACTGAAGGAAACACCACCAGACTAGGGGGAGAAGAAGGAAGGGGCCAATTGTGAGAGGGGCACGTGGAGACATGGACGGTGGCAGGGTCCTGGGATGTTCTTAGACCAGAGTAAAGATTGGGCTCTYACCCAGGGAGCAGTAGGGAGCTATTTAGGAAATCTGAGGGAGGGTATTGACAGGCTCAGGTCTGACAGTTAAAAAGAATATGGTATTGCCATAAGAAGACCAAGAGTCGGCCAGTTAGGAGTAAAACCAGGAAGGGCAGGTGGCTAAAAATAATAAAAGTTCCAGTAGCTCAGTCTCACRTAGGGCCATTGGGAAGTGACACAGGAGCTTTGAGGAATGTTTAGGAAAATTGAGAACTTGGTGACAGATGAGCTCTATTGGGTGACAGATATAGAGTCAAGGACATTCCTAGCTTCTATGCTGATCTGCAGGCAGCACTATAGGGAGCCCAGCAAGGGGCAGATGAGGTACCTGTTTGGGACAAGTTGAGGCTGAGGTGTCATGGACACACCCAGGAGGAGAAGTCATGCAGGGGTCAGGCACACATGCCCGCAGCAGAGATGAAGTCCTGTCTGGAGTTGACATTTTAGCAGCAGCGKGTGTTTGTGTGTTTGCCGAAGCCCTGGGTGGAATGAGAAGAGGCCTCGGACCAGATCTGAGAAATTGGAAATTCMCAGTCTGGCGAGGAGCATGAATTGTTAAAGGAGACGGAGAAGGTGCATCCAGAATGGCCAGGAGAAGAGTTAGAGGAACCCAGGTGATGCGAACCAAGGCAAGACGTGCTCCAGAGAGCAAAGGATGGCCACAGTGTCGCTTTACTGTTGAGAAGTCTGAGGAGCAAAGAGTGGAAACCCAGTGTGTTCATTATTTCCAGCTCCAGGCCCATTTGGCAGTTGCTGGTTTTTCATGGTGGCTGCTCCTCTTAGATTTGGGTCTTTGTCTCTTTGGACACTGCTCTTGGAGATCCCGKCCTCTGTTCTGTTTTTTCCTGATTCATACCCACAGCAGAAATCCACACTGTGGGCAGAGGAATGATAGAGAATAGTGACAGTTAATTAACTGTGGCTTTATTGGCTGCATATATTCGTTTAACTTGGATGCACATAAATCATCTTTATGATGAGTTAAAATCATTCCTTCCATCAATCTGGGGATGTTTACTTTCCTTTTAAATTATTTTTGCTGCATTTCTGTGAAGTTCATCTCTTTCTCTCAATTCTAAGTTTATTACTTAAGCAGATCAAGATGATCATCATCATTTTCAGAATTTTCTGTCACTACATTGCAGAAAGAACATAACGCAGAGAACTGAACCATCTTTTTTTTCCTCCCATGTTGGAGATTGAATGCAGGGGTGGTCTACCTGTGAGCCGCATCCCTGGCCCTTTTTATTTTGAGACAGGGTGTCTCTAAGTTGCTGAGGATCCCATTGAGTTGCCAGGGTGGCCTCCAGCTTGCAATTCTGCCTCGGCCTCCTGAGTCRCTGGGATTTACAGGTGTGCACTACCCCACCTTTTCCCAACTTTGTTCTTCTGAGTTGTTTTCACTGTATTGAGCTTGAGGTGGCAGCTGACCTCAGAGGAAATGCCCCCCGGCCAGGTCAGGTGGAGTCCTCAATAGCAGAGAGAGCTTTCTCTCCCTTAGTCACACGGTTTTCCATTCAGTCTCTTGAAGGCACCAGCTGGGGACCAGCCAGGCCTGCCCTGGGGTCTAGAGGGAGAGGGGCCAGGAAGCAAGGGGCTGGCAGGTGCTGGTGGCAGCCCTGGCCWCCTGAGCTCCCCTCGCACTGGCCCATTTGGCCTTAGAAACTTGGAGCAGCACCTCCAGCTCTTGACTTCCTTCATTTCCACCCGGGTCTCGGGTCAGGTTCCCTCCTATGTATGATCTGATGCGTCGTCCACACGGCAGCGCTCCTGGGCAGCCCACTCGTGACATTGTGTGTTCACCAAAGGAGAGACTGTCAGCGGAGGAGTCTGAGCATCTGCAGGGCAGTGGAGACTGTCTCCCTCATGGCCTCTGATGTCCCTGTCATTTCTAAGGTTGTGAATGACCAGGAACACAGTGGAGGCTGGTTTTTGTCGCGTGAGTTCATCTTTAATCTACTGTAGACACGTGTGTGATTTTGTTTTGTTCTATTTAGCAACTTACGAACCACATTCGAGACACCCTGCCAAACTTCAGGAACAAACTGCAGGGGCAGCTGCTGTCCATCGAGCACGAAGTAGAAGCCTTCAGGAACTTCAAGCCCGAGGACCCCACCCGGAAGACCAAGGCCCTGCTGCAGTAGGTGGCTTCCTCCCCCCTGCTCACCTGAAGCTCGTGTCCTTGTCCTTGGCTGCGGCCTATTTGTCATGTTGTTGTGGATGAGGCTCAGTGATACACTGTGACCCTTGAGTTTTTATGTCTTCTGGAAGCAGTTTTTAATCTGATGCTGTTATTATGAATTTAACCAACGGCTCCTCCCGAGTTCAATAGTTGTCTTTCCAAAATTGTCTTCAGTGAGTAAAGTCAGGAGTGATAACGCAGGAGGCTACTGTTTGTCCTTAGTCTTAGAAGTGAGTAAATACATGAAAACATCGTCTGACTTTTACAACCGTTGGCATTGATGTCCCTTGTCCATATGATCTTTTTATTTCCCTTATTTCATGTGATTTATCTAGGTGCGTTTTTCAATGGAACAAGAACCTGGAATCTAGCTAAAAAGAAAAATAATAACATACAGACAATCAGGCCATGTTTTAATTTATTTTCCTTTCTGGTAATGATTTTAATGTAGCACCATAAAAATACAAATGTGAAAATCGCCAAGCATCTTCTCCCTCCTGCCCTGGGGCTGGTAGACTCACACCAGCGGCCTTGGGGCAGGATGTCAGTTGCTAGGAATCGGCAGCCACCAGGTCTCGCACATCACCCTCYCTCTGACTGCTTCAGGCCTGTCTGTTCCCTAACCCTGTGCCCAACGTGCCCAGGTCCACCTCCAAGACAGTGTTGGTCCCCTCTGTGGCACCTTCACCACTGCAGGCTCTCAGTGGAAACACCCTTAGTTTGGTATTAGAATTCCTTTCTTGGTGGGGAGGTTCTCAACCATGTGAATGATTTAAATGCCATCCTCAATGCATCCCATTTCCTCATTTAAAAGTTGAGGAGCTATGTAGCTCTTCCCTGTTACTCTTTCTATTCTTGGGTGTGGTTAAGCACTTGTGAAAACTGTTGAAGACACAGGGGAAGGAGGCGGGTTCTGCCCAGGCCCTAGTYATTATCTTATCATCCAACTGAAACTGGGATGCAGAGACTGGGTCTCGACTTCCTTCGTGGGGCTCAGGTGACAGAACTTCCCACTGAACTGTCGCTTACGAAGGCTGACTCGGCTCCCCTCGGAGGCCTCTCCTCTCTGGCCTGTTTCTTCCCTCCCTCCTGCCTTCCTCTCCTCCCCCCCCCTCCTCCTCTGATCTCTGTGTGTGCTGTCCTCAGGGCCTGGCTCTGTGTGGTCCTCCAGGGAGTCCATGATGAATCCCTCTGTTGCTCCCAGGAAGGGGTCAGGGTGGAGCAGGGGGTACAGATATAGAAGCTATTAATTGTTTAGACACAGAGCTGATAAATGCCGTGTTTCTGGGAAGTGTGAAATGGTAGGAGCCCAGATGAYGAAGAGTTACACTGAGGAAAGGCATTGAGTCAGAGAGAAAATAACWCTTGAGACCCCGAAGTAGGAGAGGAGTTGTCCCGGGAAGGAGGAGGCTGGAGAATATGTGACCTTYAGCACAACTTGGTCTAGGATCAGTCGGGGGTCCAGGTGGGGAAAGAGCAGCCAAAATTGGATTTTCTAATCTTCTCCAGTGTTTGAGAGTATGTGTCCCGTTATTGCCTTTCTAGGTGTTTAAAAGTAACAGCACACACATGAAACAGAGCTGAGCCCAGTCACACTCTAGTTTTTCTGGCCTAAGAATTTGTGATTATTTAATTGGCCCACAATCTTGATGAAAGAGAATTTAAAAAAATATTTTAGATGGTCTGGATTTTTTTTTTCCTCGTAGATTTTGAATTTTTACCTTAAGAGAATTTATCTCTTCATTGAACAAATATTTAGTGAATATGTATAATGTGCCGAATTAGGGGAGATGGCTAAAATGCATGGCCCTTGTCCTTGGGGACAGGCAGCGTGTGGGCCGCTATGTGCTGGGCTGGAGGCAGAGGAGGGGCCTGACCTGGGCGGCCCTAAGGAATGGTGGTGGGTGAGGAGGGGCGGGGCACTGACAGTGTCCTCCCCAGGTGAGCTGAGAAGGTGAGCATGGAGGAGTGCTTAGAGGTGGGCTCAGGGGCTGCCAGGGTCAGACCATGAAGAACCTTGGGTGTCAGAAACCCCAGGAAGAGTTGTTCAGGGCTGAACCCAGGCAGCATCCGGGGTGAAGAAGAAGAGTCTCTTGTCTGTGGGACAAAAGGAGGCGGAGTGATCAACAGGTGGTGGCTACCTGGAAATGCCAGGCAGGAGCAGCACAGGTGCCCTGGGGTCCCTGCCTTGAGGGCGTGCCTTCCACCCTGAGGGGAAAGTCGGGAGAGCAGGAGAATGAGCAGGTCGGGAGTAGGAGATGTCAGTGATTCAGGTTCTAGGTGCATGGAGTTCAGAGAAAATCACTGTCCAGCAGGCAGCTGGGTATATGGCCAACAACTCCCAGGAAGCAGGGGCTAGCACTGAAGGTCGGAAAAACTAGTTCTTGATGACCCTTAAAGCCACCCTCAGATCACCTGGGGCAAATTTATAGCATGAGGAGAGATTGAGGCTTTGGTACTGGAGGAACCAAGAGTGATCCCCAAGTGTGAGGAGGTTCACCTGGAGCAGCGGGGACTGTGGACCAGGGTGGGGTCACAGGAGCTGAGCTCCATTTGACTATTTTACAAGTTTTATTGTGACACTTGAATTTTTATGTCAGATATTCTTTAAACACCATTTCATGATTGCAGCCAAGTGAGCAGAATGCAATGAAAGACAAAGATACTGAAGGTATTTACTCTAGTAATTGTCTGAAATAAATCTTAACCATGTGTGTTTCTTATAATAATGTTCTGAAAGCAGAACAAAGCACAGGGTCAACTCCACCAGTAGGTGCCACTAGGAACCCCAGGAAAGGATAGCAAGAGCCAAGCAGAGCCAAGCCAGCCACCTCTAACTCGACCGTCTCAATTCTAGGATGGTTCAGCAATTCGCGGTGGACTTTGAGAAGAGAATCGAAGGGTCAGGGGACCAAGTGGACACCCTGGAGCTCTCCGGCGGTGCTAAAATCAATCGCATTTTCCACGAGCGCTTTCCTTTTGAGATAGTGAAGGTTCGTACTGAATGACGTCTCCCCCTGCTTCATTTCCGTGTTCTGTTTTACCAGCCTCTTGCCCCGACGCTACCTGAATGGTTTGGGTCAGTGATGGTCCTTTGGACAAAAACCTCTGTACTCGGGGAATGACATTCAGGAGAGAAATTTTCTTTTCTGATTTTTACTTAGTGGAAATTTCACAACATTCCAAATCGTTTCAATAAAAACGAGTTGAGATGTTGTCCAATTCAATATTTCCCAGGCCCTTCTATGACTCGGAGTTCCAGGGGCCACTGAGGAAGACCTGGGAGATTTTAATTGGTCTAATAAAGAGGCACAGAAAATGAACAAACGTGAACATAAAAAAGTGGTATTTTGGCAACGGGAAGTGACCGCCACTTTTCATGGGATGTCRGGCCAGTTCTCTGTGAGCGAGGGACATTTAAGCCCCAGCCAGAAGAGCACCTCGTGGGCAAGGCCCCAGGGCAGGTGAAGAGCCAYGGGCTGGTGCAGAGCTGAGAAGGCAGAGGCGCCCGGGGGTCCAGACGGGAAGGAGCTGCTCGGTTCACACGGGCTTCCGAGGTCGGGGTGAGGTGTTCACACTTAGCAGTGGAGGGTTTTAAGCAGGAGTGTGGCCACTTTGGCTAAATGCTAGAAAACACAGGGCCTGCTGGCCCCTAAAGAGCAAGAGAAGGGTAAGGTAAGGAAAAGAGTGAGGTCAGGCCCAAGGCACGTCCACTGTCTACAACCTCAGAGCTCTCAAGAAGAAAGTAAAATATAAATCGAAACACACAGTGAGGCCTAGGGTCTTGAAAGGGATCTTGTGCTCGGGGGAGACCCTAAAACTTAAATTTCTGTGGTGTCCCACTAAATGACCTGGCGAGAGAGAGAGAGAGAGAGAGAGAGAGAGAGAGAGAGAGAGAGAGAGAGAGAGGTGCGCGCCTCTTGGGATTTGAGAGGTGAGGTCAGCAGGGCTTGGATTGATATGGGGGTGGAAGACAAGACTAGATAGGACTCCCACGTTTTGGCTTTGAGCTGAGCGGTGGTGCCCATCACATGAGGAGAATGAGGAGAAGCAGTGATCGTCTGGAGGTGTGAATGGGGCTCTGTTGTGCACTCGCGGAGTGTGAAACAAAGGCAGCTGAGTCGTTCCAGGGACTGCTACTTGCTGCTCCTGCTGTGGGCAGCAGACGGGTAAGTGGGTTGTTTTATTAAAGTGYGATGAGTGATGAGCTTCAGGGTGCTCTGGAGACAGCCCCCAGATGTGGATCCCAGCCCAAGTCCTCCAGGCAGCTGGGCTGCTGAGCTGAGCAGGCAGGACAGGGAGCCAGAAGAGCAGGAAGAGGTGGCAGAGGGGAGAAGGACAAAGGCTCCCAACTGTGTGGCCACAGGGTGTGGCAGAAGGGAGAAGGACAAAGGCTCCGAACTGTGTGGCCACAGGGTTTGGTAGAGACGGAGGTAAGTCAAGGTTCTAGGGCATAAAGCACGAGGGAGGAATCAACAAGAAGTGGGACTGGAGCGGCCGAGTCCCGAGTCAGGTGAACCTGCGTTCGCGGGATCGCCCTCCCAGGACTCAGCTCTGTGACACTTTGATCCTTCTTCCAAATAGATTTATGGTACCCAGGGCTTCGGGGAAACGTTCACCCAGCATTCTATCCTGTATTGGCTTGGCAAAATATTATTAATTTCCTTTTATAAAGAGCCTTGAACGCAGGTGGTTGAAGTGGCCAGGGAGAAAAGACAGCCATCGGTAACCTCAGGACGGCGTGCTGCTGCCGGGCAGGTGACACTCTCACTTACGCAGGTTCATTGATATGCAGCAAAAGAATCAGCGAGTGGCCAGCTTAATGTCTAGAAGTCATCCTTTATGCCCAGCACCTCTTAAATATAATAAAGTTAAAATCTGCTGCACTATGACTCCCAGAAATCCCTCGGGTCCTACGTTGCCTTGAACTTCATATAAACAGATGTTTTGACCATCTGGGTTTAGCTTAGGAGAGACATGAGTATCCGTTTATTAATAACTCAGTCAAGTTATTTTTGTTCTGCAATATTCAACAACATTATTATTCAAAGGCATTAAATGTCATAACCGTGGCTCATTTTGCATCTGCAGATGGAGTTCAATGAGAAAGAACTGCGAAGAGAAATCAGCTATGCCATCAAAAACATACACGGGATCAGGCAAGTTTCTGGTGTTTTCCTGTGTTCAGTTCAAGCTACCAAAGAAAGGGAATGTTGGCTAGAGAAGTAGCCTTCCCATCCTCCGGACAGAGGCGGGTGCAGAGGCAGGAGGAAGAAATGGGACCCCTTAGTCTGGGCTCACTGGTAACTTACTACCGTGCCACAGTCAGGTTTTTTTTTTTTTTTTCCCAATGAAAACAAAACAAAACCAAGCTACTTTCTGCACAGTGGAAGACACAGAGAAGGGCGAGACCCTGATCTCCACAGCCTGGGACTCCCAAGGTTTTGGCTTCGAGCTGGGTTTCAGGGAGGGAGGCCCCAGGTGCTCCTGAGCACATCACTGGCACAGAAGAGACACTGGTTCCTTTTAACCGAGTTGTGGAATGAGACTGAGAAAGGGAATGATGGAGGTTACTTAGGAGTGGAACTCTGCCTGTTGATAGGACGCTATCAGACCGCCAAGGTGTGTGCGGACTTATGCTTGTGTGCTTGTGAGAGCGGGATGTGTGCTTGTCTGTGTGTGTTCAGGTGAGGTGAATGTGTGCTTGTCTGTGTGTGTTCAGGTGAGGTGAATGTGTGCTTGTCTGTGCGTGTGTGTGAGGCGGGCAAGTGCTTGTGAGTGCGTGTGTGAGGTGGGCATGTGCTTGTGAGTGCGTGTGCGAGGCGGGCAAGTGCTTGTGAGTGCGTGTGTGGTGGTAAAGCTGTGGTGGGAAGGAGGAGAGGGAATGGCCTTGCTGAGGCTGGAGGGCGGGAAGGGCTCCCGGGAAGGAGGCAGGCTGAGCCCAGGGTAGAGGTGGGAAGGTGCGGCAGGTTTTGTGGGGCGAGGACTTCACACGTGATTGGTCGGAGGAAGGTGGATGGGAGAGCAGAGGGCCAGGGTGGACRGGGAGAATGGGGCCCGGATTTCCCCTGTGCAGAGTGAGAATGTTCTAAGTGACGTTCTTTAGTCTTTTCAGGCTGATWCAACAAATGATCATAGATGAGTGACTAAAACCAGCGACACGGTGTCTCACCGTTCTGTAGGGTGGAAGGCCAAGCTCAGGGTTCCAGCACAGGGCGCTCTGGGGAGGACCTTCCTCTGATTTGCTGGCCGCTGGCTTTCCTGTGTCCTCCCTGGCAGACAGAGCTGGCTGATCAATGCCTCTACAGGGCATGATCGTGTCCACTAGAGCTCCACCCTTAATGGCCTGCTGCCTCCCCAAAGCTCCACCTCCYGACACCGTCACACTGGGGAGAATTTCTAGGGGACACATACGTTCTGTCCACAGCAAGTTCTTCAAAGAACTAGGACAATATTTTGAAACACATTTCTGGAGTTTATGTACAAAGGCCAAACATGATTTAACAAGTGAAAGTTACACAGAAGCAACCTGAATGCAAGGTAACACAGCACATCCTCCCTGTCCTTTAGATTTAGATGACTTACAAGACCCAGTTCTATGTAAATGCTCTGTAAATAGTTGTATTTTTAGACTGTATTTTTCAGACAGTGACAAGAAATAAGTCTGTACGTGCTCAGTAGAGATACAGTTTTTCTCTGGATATTTCCAGTTAGTAACGGCTGAATCCACAGAGGTGTAGCCCAACAATATGAAGGGCCYGCTGCATTTCCTTCTACTGATTTGGAGTAATGAAGTGACGGTTAAATATTAGTTACAACTTACATCATAAGTCAAGAAAATATATTGGGCGTTTGTGTGGGAATGGTGGGCAAGGGAGGGAGGTCCTGGACATGGAATGTCAGACCTTGCCCATGCTGGGCAAGCGCCGTCCCACCGAGCTACGTCCCCAGCCCTTGAGCATCGTTTGTAACCTCCCGTAGCTTGGCACTTACTGTGGAGTAKCATTGTGGGTAGAACCATGCTACATAACTTTTGGTGCTTACTACCTTACGTGACAATCTAAACATTTTTCAGAGTATTGGGTGCCACTCCATGGTTTATGTCTAGCACAGTCCTTTCTCTCCTGCATCCAGGACGGGGCTGTTTACTCCGGACATGGCATTTGAAGCGATAGTCAAAAAGCAGATCGTGAAGCTGAAAGGGCCTTCCCTGAAGAGCGTGGACCTGGTGATGCAGGAGCTGATCAACACTGTCAAGAAGTGCACCAAGAAGGTGAGCTGGGCCGCCTGGCCTCCCAGCAGGTGCCCTGGGACCCAGCCGCCACTCCTGTTCCAGGGCATGGTCTCGCTCCCTGACCCTGGCCTTGTCACAGACATTTTGTGTTGGTCCAGGGAGGGACTGTGGACGTGTTGGGTGGGAAGGGCTGTCCTGATGGGCAGATGAACTCCTTCTCTTAGCCCATTCCAAAGGTTGGCTGGGCCAGAGAGAGAGGGCCTGGGCTGAGCTCCGTTAGAACAAGTGGATAAACGCCCCATGGTCATGTTTCCTATAAAGTGTGTGGATGAAGGTGATTCCAATGAGAATCATTGATATTGTGTGTATTGATAAGAAAACTCTTGTATATTATCAATGATTCCACTTGAGCTGCGGCATTTTGAGAAGAGCAGTGTATAAGGGTTTGGAGCCCAGCCTTGGAGGCCCACTTACCTAGATTCTGTGTGACCTCAGGCATCATTCTTAACCCCTCTGGTCTTGCTCATTTATGTGTGGGTTGGGTTTATGTGGATCATGTCACCTCAGTGAAAACTAAAGGAGATGAAGCCCAAAGCCTATGGACTCCCATTGCTGATTGACWGAGGCAGTTGAACTCCTAGGAGGATGGAAGGAGTACCTCCTAGAAGGAACAGAAGAAGATTGCTTAGGAAGATGGTGCCTGGGGTAGGGTGGGCCTAAGCTTATGATAGCTGCCACAGGCATCAGCACCATCTCTCTATGTCCAGATAGTTATGGTTTTGTTAGCTTTTTTTTTTTTTTTTTGTATCAGGGTTGAATCCAGGAGCATTTAGCATTTAACCACTGAGCAACATCCCCAGGCCTTTTTTGTATTTTATTTAGAGACAGGGTCTCGGTGAATTGCTTGGGTGAATTGCTGAGGCTGGCTTTGAACTCGCTATCCTCCTGTCTCAGCCTCCTGAGCCGCTGGGATTACAGGATGCACCGCCTCTCCCAGATGTTTTTGTTAGTTTGTTGTTAACTTCCCTTACACAGAGTTACTCACCTCCCTGAAAAAACAGTGGGAAGAAGAGGAAGAGAACAAATGATGGCATGAATGTGAATACTGGTCCCATGACCGGTCAGAAAGGCTCAGCTGAAGGAGAGGGGTAGGTAGTAGAGGCTGGCAGGCTACCTTCCCAGGTGGAGGCTGAAGGAGGACGGCATGGCGGGAGCCTGGGACCCAGACGTAATTCTGGAGGTTCAGATTCCTCCCCGAGAGCTCTAACTGCATTCCCCTTCCCAACCTCTCTTCCAAAAACGGGAAAAGCCCCAGGAGATCAGGGACGGAGGGAGAAGGCAGGAGAGAGCACACAGGAGAAAAAGCACTCTATCCAGCGCTCCTACGGAAATGTGAAGGAGTCACGCGTCACTCCCTGCTGTCTTTGTCCACTCTGCAGAATGCAACCTGTCCTGTCACCTGGGTTTTTAAAGCTCTTTCACTTGATCTCTCAACCCATTTGCAGGGTTGAGGGGGTGCTGCTTTCCCTGTGAYCACAGGGACGGTCACGGTGGCCACAGATGAGCTCGGAGAGAAGCCCCTCCTGAGATGGCCTCTGTACTCTGGCCTCCAGCAGTGAAGCTGCCTTCTTCCCGGGGGCCAATCGCCTTGAGCTTGTTCTCAAACCTGGTTAGCCGGCTGTCCTGACTTCAGTCRTGTACCTGAAATGAACAGTGAATAAACTGATGGAATGCAGGAAGGGCTGAGCTTTGTTTCCGTGCAAACAAAGCCAAATGCTTTGGAAAGTCTTGATAGATGTTAGCTACAAAACTTCGTTATTAAGCGGGCAGAGGCAGGAGAATGGTAAAATCATATGTGTGGTGGGGGCTTATGAGAGTCYAGGTAGTTTTGCATTCAGATTATTTCGCCAGTTTGATCAGGTTCTGCTCCTGCTTTAAAGAAAGCAGAACTGGGCATCACAGATGAAGGCTGTGGCTTATGTAAGACAGAAGATGCATAACTCCAAACAGCGGCACCATGTGCAGAGAGCAGGCCCTGGCCTTACATCAAAAGATTGGCACATGTGTGTACTTTTATGTTTTAAGTTATATAAAGTGTTTATGGTATGTATGAATCTTTTTTTTTTTTTTTATCATTTCCTATTTTATCCGACTTACTGGAAATCACCAGTCGGCCTGGTCCCGACAGCCTGTTCCTGGACACTCACGGCTTTGTTCTTGCTTTCCAGCCTTTGAACTCCCCTTTCCATTATTCTCTCTGGATCAACATCCTGAATATTTTTACTGTCTTCTCAAAACATTCTATAGTCTGCGTTACATAAAGTAAAACCTAGCTTTCTCCCTGAGATGATTGTTTACCCTGTAGCTTCCTTCATCAAAGGCCCGACCCTAAAACATTTAAGGGCCTGAGTCGGGCAAGACATTGGCCTACTTCTCTGTGGGTTCCAAACGCGATTTCATCACCTTCTTGACAAAGTCTTCCTTATGGTCTGGGTGGTACCTGTCCCTCCACCCTCAGATGCAACATCTCCATCMATCCTGGCTGTTCCGTGTGTCCGTCAGGATGTTTGGAACCTGGCTGACATTTTCCCTCTCCATCCCAAGTTCGCCTTCAGTGGGGAAGACGTCGGTGCCCATGTAGTCATCATGCCCGGCACCACTCTTCTTGAGATCTCCGACTCCTGTGTTCCCTCCTCAGTCCCCACTGGTGGGGCACTTCCGTGACCTCTTGTGGCCCTCGTCCTCATGAGCACATGTTTGACCAAGAGGTGACAGACTCCGACTCTAGGGCTTGCAGGTTGCTCACCGCTCYTCCCTGACTTCTTTGGAGCTGAGCTAACTGGAGAATTGATGGAAGAACTCAGCAGAGGTTTGGAATTCAGTGTCCACTTGACACTGCTGGGTATAGATGGGAAAGCCGGCCTGGGGTCTGCTGCTTCCAGCAGTGAACCTTGGAGCCCACCATGGTGGAGAGGGTTGGAGGGGACCACCTTTACTTTCCTGGCCTGGCGGTTCAACCTGCTGSAATTAACTTTGTCACCTGCTGAAACTCCAAGAGGGGGGAAATTTCTCATTTCGTTTTCTCTCTCCCCCGGATTGCTGAGGAATCAAAGATAATCATCCCATTTGTGTGGTTGGTGCCGCAGTATGYCCACAGTCTACCTTGGTGTAGTCTTAAGGACTCTCAGTGGTGCTTCAGGGTGTTGTTTTGGGGTGCACCGTGATCATCCGTAACAGTGGGGTCCATCATGCCGTGTTTGTACATGCACACAACATCCACGGATCAGTCTCATTCCCCGGTACCTTCCCTCCCGCCCCCCGGGTCTGCCCTCTCTAGTGTCCAGGGTATTCTTCATCAATGACTTCCTCTGTTCTTCAGAGTGGTGAGGCTGAACTTTCCTTTTCTCTCGAGATCACTTCCCTTGTAACTTTCCTCCTCACTTCCACTCGTGATTTCATTGCCTGGAAGTGGGGCCGTTAATGTCTTGTCCTCTGATCCCTAAGCTTCCTTATCCCCGACCAAGGCTGGACTCGAGCCCGTATCCCCACTTCCTTAGAGAACTGGCTCTTCTGGTTCTTCCGTTTCCTGCGCTGCTGCCTCCTCCGTCCCGTGTGTGGCCTCGTGTGTGCCAGGCAAGCGCTGCACCAGCCCCTCCACATTTAAAAAAATCAGCACTTAAGTTTTTTATGACTCTCCTTATTTAAAAAAAATAGTGCCCATAAACCCATGGTCAGCCATGCCTTTCCTATTCACGGACAAACTTCTTGGGGACAAAAGTAGTTTATGCTGTGTCAGTCAGCTGTTCCTCACTGAGACAAAATACCTGAGAGAAGCAACAGGTTGAGGAACAATCTATTTTGCCTCCCGTGTTTAGAGGTTGCAGTCCATGGTTGGCTGGCTCCAAGGCAGGAACTCCATGGTGGGTGGGTGTGGCCGAGGAAAGCGGCTCCATCCGTGGCCTCCGTGGAACAGAAAGAGACAGAAAGGACTGGGGACGGGAAATACCCTTCCAGGACGTGCCCCAGGGAGCTGCTTCCTCCACCTCCCAGTAGATCATTCCGCTCTCAATGGATCCATCCTGACAGGYGAGAGCCCTGGCCATCCAGCTGCTTCCCAGAGCCCCACCCTGAACGTCACTGCACTGGGAACAAGCCCACACATGAGCCTTTGGGGGGCAGTCCACAGCCAAACCACGGCGCTTGCCGTCTAATGGTCCCTTCTCGGTTAACTCCCCAGCGGTCACCTGGTTTCCTGTCCGTCTGTCACGTCATGGAAGTATTTCTGGCTGCGGTTGATCCGTTCCTGAGGTGCACCTCCACGGGGAGCGCTGTGGCCTTGGTCTGTCCTCTTTTCCCTGACCACTCCTCCACTTTCTCCTACAGGGTGTCCACACGGACCTGCCTATAAACTGGCCTCCCCGTTTCCAGGCGTTGGCATTAGTCCACGTGACTCCCCCTTGGAGGGCCTCCCTTCCCCTCCTTTGTCACCCGCCATCCCTTCTGGGTTTTAAAGATGCAGGCGGTCGCCGTCTTTCCTGAAGCTCTTCCTAGAGGCCCTCTGTGTGTCTGTGCCTCTTCTCTGCTCCTTGTCCCTTGTCCGTGCTTCCATCCGCACCTTCTCTCTCTCTCTCTCCCTTCTTCTCTCCTTCTCTCCCTCCCTCCCTCTCTCTTCTCTCTCTCTCTCCCTCCTTCTCTCCTTCTCTCCCTCCCTCCCTCCCTCCTTCTCTCTCTCTTCTCTCTCTCTTCTCTTCTCTCTCTCTTCTCTCTCTTCTCTCTCTCTCTCTTCTCTCTCTTTCTCTCTCTCTCTCTCTCTCTCTCTCTCTCTCTC